GACGAAAATACCCTCTTCCTTTACTGCATTGTGAGTTAAACAAAACTTTTAAGCATTTTTTAGACGAAAATACCCTCTTCCTTTACTGCATTGTGAGTTAAACAAAACTTTTAAGCATTTTTTAGACGAAAATACCCTCTTCCTTTACTGCATTGTGAGTTAAACAAAACTTTTAAGCATTTTTTAGACGAAAATACCCTCTTCCTTTACTGCATTGTGAGTTAAACAAAACTTTTAAGCATTTTTTAGACGAAAATACCCTCTTCCTTTACTGCATTGTGAGTTAAACAAAACTTTTAAGCATTTTTTAGACGAAAATACCCTCTTCCTTTACTGCATTGTGAGTTAAACAAAACTTTTAAGCATTTTTTAGACGAAAATACCCTCTTCCTTTACTGCATTGTGAGTTAAACAAAACTTTTAAGCATTTTTTAGACGAAAATACCCTCTTCCTTTACTGCATTGTGAGTTAAACAAAACTTTTAAGCATTTTTTAGACGAAAATACCCTCTTCCTTTACTGCATTGTGAGTTAAACAAAACTTTTAAGCATTTTTTAGACGAAAATACCCTCTTCCTTTACTGCATTGTGAGTTAAACAAAACTTTTAAGCATTTTTTAGACGAAAATACCCTCTTCCTTTACTGCATTGTGAGTTAAACAAAACTTTTAAGCATTTTTTAGACGAAAATACCCTCTTCCTTTACTGCATTGTGAGTTAAACAAAACTTTTAAGCATTTTTTAGACGAAAATACCCTCTTCCTTTACTGCATTGTGAGTTAAACAAAACTTTTAAGCATTTTTTAGACGAAAATACCCTCTTCCTTTACTGCATTGTGAGTTAAACAAAACTTTTAAGCATTTTTTAGACGAAAATACCCTCTTCCTTTACTGCATTGTGAGTTAAACAAAACTTTTAAGCATTTTTTAGACGAAAATACCCTCTTCCTTTACTGCATTGTGAGTTAAACAAAACTTTTAAGCATTTTTTAGACGAAAATACCCTCTTCCTTTACTGCATTGTGAGTTAAACAAAACTTTTAAGCATTTTTTAGACGAAAATACCCTCTTCCTTTACTGCATTGTGAGTTAAACAAAACTTTTAAGCATTTTTTAGACGAAAATACCCTCTTCCTTTACTGCATTGTGAGTTAAACAAAACTTTTAAGCATTTTTTAGACGAAAATACCCTCTTCCTTTACTGCATTGTGAGTTAAACAAAACTTTTAAGCATTTTTTAGACGAAAATACCCTCTTCCTTTACTGCATTGTGAGTTAAACAAAACTTTTAAGCATTTTTTAGACGAAAATACCCTCTTCCTTTACTGCATTGTGAGTTAAACAAAACTTTTAAGCATTTTTTAGACGAAAATACCCTCTTCCTTTACTGCATTGTGAGTTAAACAAAACTTTTAAGCATTTTTTAGACGAAAATACCCTCTTCCTTTACTGCATTGTGAGTTAAACAAAACTTTTAAGCATTTTTTAGACGAAAATACCCTCTTCCTTTACTGCATTGTGAGTTAAACAAAACTTTTAAGCATTTTTTAGACGAAAATACCCTCTTCCTTTACTGCATTGTGAGTTAAACAAAACTTTTAAGCATTTTTTAGACGAAAATACCCTCTTCCTTTACTGCATTGTGAGTTAAACAAAACTTTTAAGCATTTTTTAGACGAAAATACCCTCTTCCTTTACTGCATTGTGAGTTAAACAAAACTTTTAAGCATTTTTTAGACGAAAATACCCTCTTCCTTTACTGCATTGTGAGTTAAACAAAACTTTTAAGCATTTTTTAGACGAAAATACCCTCTTCCTTTACTGCATTGTGAGTTAAACAAAACTTTTAAGCATTTTTTAGACGAAAATACCCTCTTCCTTTACTGCATTGTGAGTTAAACAAAACTTTTAAGCATTTTTTAGACGAAAATACCCTCTTCCTTTACTGCATTGTGAGTTAAACAAAACTTTTAAGCATTTTTTAGACGAAAATACCCTCTTCCTTTACTGCATTGTGAGTTAAACAAAACTTTTAAGCATTTTTTAGACGAAAATACCCTCTTCCTTTACTGCATTGTGAGTTAAACAAAACTTTTAAGCATTTTTTAGACGAAAATACCCTCTTCCTTTACTGCATTGTGAGTTAAACAAAACTTTTAAGCATTTTTTAGACGAAAATACCCTCTTCCTTTACTGCATTGTGAGTTAAACAAAACTTTTAAGCATTTTTTAGACGAAAATACCCTCTTCCTTTACTGCATTGTGAGTTAAACAAAACTTTTAAGCATTTTTTAGACGAAAATACCCTCTTCCTTTACTGCATTGTGAGTTAAACAAAACTTTTAAGCATTTTTTAGACGAAAATACCCTCTTCCTTTACTGCATTGTGAGTTAAACAAAACTTTTAAGCATTTTTTAGACGAAAATACCCTCTTCCTTTACTGCATTGTGAGTTAAACAAAACTTTTAAGCATTTTTTAGACGAAAATACCCTCTTCCTTTACTGCATTGTGAGTTAAACAAAACTTTTAAGCATTTTTTAGACGAAAATACCCTCTTCCTTTACTGCATTGTGAGTTAAACAAAACTTTTAAGCATTTTTTAGACGAAAATACCCTCTTCCTTTACTGCATTGTGAGTTAAACAAAACTTTTAAGCATTTTTTAGACGAAAATACCCTCTTCCTTTACTGCATTGTGAGTTAAACAAAACTTTTAAGCATTTTTTAGACGAAAATACCCTCTTCCTTTACTGCATTGTGAGTTAAACAAAACTTTTAAGCATTTTTTAGACGAAAATACCCTCTTCCTTTACTGCATTGTGAGTTAAACAAAACTTTTAAGCATTTTTTAGACGAAAATACCCTCTTCCTTTACTGCATTGTGAGTTAAACAAAACTTTTAAGCATTTTTTAGACGAAAATACCCTCTTCCTTTACTGCATTGTGAGTTAAACAAAACTTTTAAGCATTTTTTAGACGAAAATACCCTCTTCCTTTACTGCATTGTGAGTTAAACAAAACTTTTAAGCATTTTTTAGACGAAAATACCCTCTTCCTTTACTGCATTGTGAGTTAAACAAAACTTTTAAGCATTTTTTAGACGAAAATACCCTCTTCCTTTACTGCATTGTGAGTTAAACAAAACTTTTAAGCATTTTTTAGACGAAAATACCCTCTTCCTTTACTGCATTGTGAGTTAAACAAAACTTTTAAGCATTTTTTAGACGAAAATACCCTCTTCCTTTACTGCATTGTGAGTTAAACAAAACTTTTAAGCATTTTTTAGACGAAAATACCCTCTTCCTTTACTGCATTGTGAGTTAAACAAAACTTTTAAGCATTTTTTAGACGAAAATACCCTCTTCCTTTACTGCATTGTGAGTTAAACAAAACTTTTAAGCATTTTTTAGACGAAAATACCCTCTTCCTTTACTGCATTGTGAGTTAAACAAAACTTTTAAGCATTTTTTAGACGAAAATACCCTCTTCCTTTACTGCATTGTGAGTTAAACAAAACTTTTAAGCATTTTTTAGACGAAAATACCCTCTTCCTTTACTGCATTGTGAGTTAAACAAAACTTTTAAGCATTTTTTAGACGAAAATACCCTCTTCCTTTACTGCATTGTGAGTTAAACAAAACTTTTAAGCATTTTTTAGACGAAAATACCCTCTTCCTTTACTGCATTGTGAGTTAAACAAAACTTTTAAGCATTTTTTAGACGAAAATACCCTCTTCCTTTACTGCATTGTGAGTTAAACAAAACTTTTAAGCATTTTTTAGACGAAAATACCCTCTTCCTTTACTGCATTGTGAGTTAAACAAAACTTTTAAGCATTTTTTAGACGAAAATACCCTCTTCCTTTACTGCATTGTGAGTTAAACAAAACTTTTAAGCATTTTTTAGACGAAAATACCCTCTTCCTTTACTGCATTGTGAGTTAAACAAAACTTTTAAGCATTTTTTAGACGAAAATACCCTCTTCCTTTACTGCATTGTGAGTTAAACAAAACTTTTAAGCATTTTTTAGACGAAAATACCCTCTTCCTTTACTGCATTGTGAGTTAAACAAAACTTTTAAGCATTTTTTAGACGAAAATACCCTCTTCCTTTACTGCATTGTGAGTTAAACAAAACTTTTAAGCATTTTTTAGACGAAAATACCCTCTTCCTTTACTGCATTGTGAGTTAAACAAAACTTTTAAGCATTTTTTAGACGAAAATACCCTCTTCCTTTACTGCATTGTGAGTTAAACAAAACTTTTAAGCATTTTTTAGACGAAAATACCCTCTTCCTTTACTGCATTGTGAGTTAAACAAAACTTTTAAGCATTTTTTAGACGAAAATACCCTCTTCCTTTACTGCATTGTGAGTTAAACAAAACTTTTAAGCATTTTTTAGACGAAAATACCCTCTTCCTTTACTGCATTGTGAGTTAAACAAAACTTTTAAGCATTTTTTAGACGAAAATACCCTCTTCCTTTACTGCATTGTGAGTTAAACAAAACTTTTAAGCATTTTTTAGACGAAAATACCCTCTTCCTTTACTGCATTGTGAGTTAAACAAAACTTTTAAGCATTTTTTAGACGAAAATACCCTCTTCCTTTACTGCATTGTGAGTTAAACAAAACTTTTAAGCATTTTTTAGACGAAAATACCCTCTTCCTTTACTGCATTGTGAGTTAAACAAAACTTTTAAGCATTTTTTAGACGAAAATACCCTCTTCCTTTACTGCATTGTGAGTTAAACAAAACTTTTAAGCATTTTTTAGACGAAAATACCCTCTTCCTTTACTGCATTGTGAGTTAAACAAAACTTTTAAGCATTTTTTAGACGAAAATACCCTCTTCCTTTACTGCATTGTGAGTTAAACCAAACTTTTAAACATTTTTTAGACAAAAATACCTTTCAACACACTATATATTTACAATTTCATTGTTTTTTTAATTTTTTTTTCTTTAAATATAAGCATTCATCCATTATTATTGTTTTATTATTTTTTTAAATATTCTTTGTAAATATATTTTTGAAAAAAGAATATTTAAAAAAAACAATAACAAAACAGAAAAATGAGAAAAATTGAGAAGTTTCGTCTAAAAAATGTCAATGCAGTAACGGATGGTGTCAAAGTGAAACACGTCAATAGTTTCGGGGGTACATTTGTATACTTTTATAGTTTAGGGGGTCAAAATAATACTTCTCAATAGTTTAGGGGGTCTTCGTGTAAATAACCCTAAATTTTAAGATGATGAAACCTTGCATTATGATTTCTGAATAATTCAAGTGAGTCTTTAATACTTCACCATGCAGAAAAGTAGTTTAGCAAAACAGTAATGCTCCTAGCATAAGGAATGTGTTATCACCACCCCCTTTCACAAAAAAAAAAAAAAGGAATGTTTTATAGGTTTTACTAAAATAATTTTTTATGCAATTTTGGCCCAGGAAGGGTGGTTAAATAACAAAATATATCTACCACTGCATTTCAAATGTGTCTACTAGGACTAGCACATAATAAGTTAAAATAAGGGCTGCCAATAACAGTTCAAACATTTAAAATTGTCTACCATAAAATAATAGCTAGAATGATAATATTTTGAAAGAACTCGAGAAAAGCTAGTGTTCATGTTCAAAGTTTCAACAACAGTAATCCTTACAAGTGCAAGAGAAAATACTTCCAAACATTCAAAATTTTCAAATATTAACAAGACAAACAATGTTGTAATGAAAAAATTAAACAGATTTCACAAACCTATTGATCATTTTTTACCTCAATTTAGATCTGGTTTGATATCTCAGGTAGGGTAGCAACACCTAGGCAACCTGCAACACCACCATCAGCCATGCCGTATAAGGTTTAAAGAGCATTTTAAGGACATTAAAATGGGTGATCAATGGGTTAGATAACAAGTTTCGAGCATTTATCTACAAGAATTGTCCCCAAGGACCTTAAGGTAATTTGCAGTTACCAGTCATGGTATGCCGCATCATCATACAACTGAGTCATTTCCAGATTTTAGACCAAAAGAAAAGAAAAGAAAAAAAAAAGTCTACTTGGAGCAACAGGCTCCCACCAAAAGAAAATCTGCCAAATGAATTTTCTACTAATTTGCCAAATATGCTCATTCCAAAATGGAAATAGCATGGTGCAAATTGACCAAAGAATTATTTTCACCTCAAACGAAGGGTGGTCTCATATGAATGCTAGCGCAAATGTAGGAAAAGTCGATGAAATCTAAAATGCCCCAAAGTTGCTTCTTTGTTTAATTGAACATAATCCATGTTTCCCCTGTTTGATTGCACATATTTAGAAGTGTTGCATGCATTTCTTTCCCCCTCCCCCTTGAATTCATTGTTGACTCATCTACAACACACTTCAATTAATTCCTGAAGTCAAAATTATTGGCAAACATCCCTTCAGACTTTATTTTCACCACGTTAAGATACAACCCTAGCTATCAAAAACATAAAAATCACTTGCACATTTTCTGTTACAGAATACACAACATTAAGCATTTTCAACTCCTAAAATTACAGAAGCATATCATAATTATCAGGACTATGTACGCTTACAGCACTGATACACCACTTGCCTAGACTTTATTCTCCATAGAAACCAACGGTCCCTATAGCGACTTATATTCCATGGAGAATTACTACGGTGCTTTACCTTCTCATGCAATGGGGTGAAAACTGATTTCACGGCTTCAAAAACCTCTTCTACAGGCTTTTCTGCATCAATCTGCAGGTGAAAAAAAAAACAAAAAATCAGTGGTAACTGCAAATTAAGGGTAATAAGTCACAGCCTATTTAGGCTTTGCATCTGTCAGCTCTGGAATGTAACTCTCCTATCATCCTATGGTATGGTGTTGTGTTTGGTTAAGGGTTTCTAGCTACTTAGCCTCACATGGACTCTTCTAGCTACACCATTGAGAGTCTTATTACCTACTTAGAAAACTATTTGGTGGGTTTAGTACTTATGTTGCTAAAATCACTACCATAAGTATTTATTAATTATCTATCGTGGGGGACCTAATTAGTAAGTCCTTATGGTATGTTAAGTTGCTTTGTTGTGGCATTAGCTAGTCCATTTACTCATTAAGCTCAACTCTAGAGAATGTGCATGTCGAAATTCTTATTCTGTGGGGTTGTTTATGTTTAAGAATAAAGGTAATAATGCTAATCAGGTCTCCACATTTACTCATTAGGCTTTACTTTCTCAGCATATAAATGTTGAGTTGATTAGTTTACAATATTTGTTTCCTAAAATCCCATATGAAACATATAAGAGAGTCAGCTCTAAGTTGCCCTAAAATGACCCCATGTTTGTATCTAATTCTATATACTAATTCTCATTTATAGCAACATTACAAAGCTTGAAAAATTTATTCAAAAATTAAATGAAATGTGAATGTTAATCATATTAAGGGTTGTTTTGAAAAGTTGATTTTTGAATTTTTTTTATAAGAAAACATATAAAAACGGAAAGAAAAGAGTTGACTATTTTTGTAATATTTTTTAATTTATTCCCAAAACAGCTTTAAGTTTCATTTTGTATTTGCGATGTACTTTTATAACCTTTTCTTTGACATCAATAAATCTTAATTTTTGCTGAAAAAATAGGTGAGATTAAGTTTAAAGTTACGCTATATACTTTATTTGGTAATTATGTTTTGAATTACTTTTACTAGCTCCCTTTGTGCCCTTAGCATTATGCACCATCATTTAAAAAGGCACGTTGGATGCCAAAGAAAATTAGTGACAAAAAAACTGAAATGTGGAGACCTGATTAGTATATATGATATCTTTGAGCTTTGTCTACTTGAAGTGAATATCTTTTTAATGTTCTAAGATTAATATCTTGCTTTTGGTGTTCTGATATCATATTCTAATTTGTCTTTCATTTGTGTTTCAGTTTGATGCATTTCTCCATGGATTTTCTTATTGATGTATCTGTATATTGTACACTCTCTTTGTATATCTGCAATTTTCGTCAAGAAACTTTTCTTTTGTTGATTTTTTTTTATTAAAAAAAAGTCAATATATTTATAAAATTTATAAATTTATATAATTTTTATACTATATTATATCGTGTACTGATATAGGGTAGAGTGTGAATCTTTTTTCTTTATTTTTATTTTATTTTATTTATTTGGCTAAAATAATTTATTTGCGCCGCTTATGACCCTTAGCTTTGCATCCAAAATCTGTATACTTTGAATTATCTAAAACAGTGAGTAACAGTTCACAGCCCCTTGGCTCCATGAAGGAATTATTCTCTCTTTCAAGGGTTTTCAACTTTTTCTTACAAACCATTCACTGTTATCATCTCCAATCCAACACTTCCCAAACAAAACAGTGGCCCCAGTCCTCTCTCTCATGTGCATTCTAAGTTTTTAGGGGAGTTTGAGTCTATATGTTTGGGATGATAGATTTTGGCTAAAATAGTCAATAAAAATAAAAAATATTAAAATAATCAATAAGATAAAATATTATATATTACATATTAATTAATTATTTTTTCTCTCACAACTATCAATTTAATGAAAATTGGAATATTACACCCTTAAATTAGCATATGTTGATTTAACTTCTCTGGACTTCGTATATAGTTGAGTAAAGAGAAAATCAAACAGAGTACTAACTGCAATTACAGGCTAAGTACTAAATTATAGTCTCGGGGCATTCATTGGAATTGTCGCATGTGGCTATCAATTATATTGGCATTGTTCATTTCTTATATGCATAGCTCCTCAAGTACATTATTAAGTTCCTCTGCAAAATTTAATCACATTTTGTTTACCGAGTGAAATGTGAGCCAGAATAGTTATTGTTTCCCAATGTCTTATTTTTTCAATATCCCAATTTAGTTGATAGATTTGTCAATTCTGGTATTCGGGGCATATATATATTTTTCCAAATACGTGTAGTTCAATCATATCATTTTGCATTTGGATATTTGAGTACTTAAATTGACTGCTTTAGAAACTCAATGTGGCATATTGTGGGTTTTCTTTCTGTGCCATGTTATCTGCTTTTTACTCTCAGCTCACTGTTTTATTGGTTAAATTTTCTCGGACTTATGATATTTGTCTTCTTATTGATGGTTATTTTGCTGTGGTTTATGTTTTGGTTGTGAATACTTCTTCTGTTTACGCTAAATTGCTTTGGCTATTTTCTCACTTGATTTATGTGTGGTTGTAATTTATATAACTCAGTATAATCATTGGACTTGAAATTTTTTTTAATTGAAATATATATATATATTTTTCTATATAAAATTTGTCCTATTCACCTAACTTTAATTAACTCGGCATAGTCAGACATGGACAAGAGTTGGATTGCATTAGGTAGCACAGTTGATGGAAGGATAAGTCGGGCATATAATGATGGGGTAATATCATTTCTCCGTTTTGCAATGGCGGTTATCGATCGAGATGGTAAAATTTTGTGCCCTTGTCGAAAGTGTGTGAATGTTGTTCGTCAAAAATTTCAAATTGTTCAAATTCATTTGCTGCAACATGGGATTATTCCAACTTACACTATCTGGCACGTGCATGGGGAACCCCGTGAATCAAACGAGGCTTATCATCATGATATACCCGTTGAGGGCAATGAGGTTTTGGGAGGTATTGATGCCTTAGTGGAAGATCGAATAAGAGGGGAATCAACTAATACAACTCAAGAGGAGGAGGTTCGCACTTTTGATAAATTATTGAATGATGCCAAACGTGAGGTGTACCCAGGTTGCACAAATTACACTTTGTTAAAATTTGTCATCGAGATACTTAATATGAAGGTAACAAACCATTGGAGTAATAAGTCAGTTGACATGATGCTAGAGTTTTTAACAAAACTTTTACCGAAGGATAATTTGGTTCCAAAGTCAACTTATGAAGCTAAAAAAATACTACGTGAATTGGGTTTGTCATACGAGCTCATTGATGCTTGTGTAAACGATTGTGTGCTCTTTTGGAAGGGGAATGCAACACCAGATAAATGTCCAAATTGTAAGGCTTCTAGATACAAGACAAATCATGGTAGAGGTAAGAAGATCTCTCGTAAGGTTCTTCGATACTTCCCGTTAACACCGAGATTGAAAAGGTTGTACATGTCGAGGAAGAGAGCCGAGGAAAAACGTCTAGATGACGGTGTATTGAGGCATCCTGCAGATAGTGATGAGTGGAAGGAATTCGATACACAACATCCTGAATTTGCCTTGGAGCCTCGGAATGTGAGGCTAGGGTTGGCTACTGATGGTTTCAACCCTTTCGGAAATATGAATAACTCATATAGTTTGTGGCCTGTCGTACTCATTCCGTACAACTTGCCACCGTGGTTGGCTATGAAGGACCCATTTTTCATGCTATCATTACTTGTTCCTGGTGAATCACAACTAGGAATTGATATTGATGTCTACATGAGACCTTTAGTGGAAGAATTGAATGAATTATGGAAAAATGGTACATTAACCTATGATGCCTCGACTGGTGAGACTTTCTGCATGCGTGCAGCTTTGCTGTGGATGATACATGATTGGCCCGCATTTGGTGACATTTCTGGATGGAGAACAAAGGGTCATTACTCTTGTTACACTTGCAATGATGAACCATATTTTGAATCTTTAAGAAGTAAGATTGCGTATAGTAACCGTCGATACTACTTGCTTGATGACCACCCAGAAAGGCGAAAGAGTAGAGCATATAATGGCAAGCATGAAAAACGGAAGAGATCTTTTGTGATACCGATAGAAAAGATTGAAGAACAATTGGGCAGCGTGACGGGCGTCACATATGGAAAACATCCAAGCAACAGGAAAAGACCTCGTCAGAACCCAAATTGGACAAAGGTAAGCATCTTGTATGAGCTACCATATTGGAAGAAAATGAGGCTTCGACACAACATTGATGTCATGCATGTGGAGAAGAACTTTAGTGAAAATGTTTTTGGAACGATGTTGGGAATTGATGGAAAGAACAAGGATACAGATAAGGCACGAATGGATTTAGAAGACATGAATATAAGGAAAGAATTGTGGCTGACAACAAATCCCGATGGATCATATGTGAAGCCTTGAGCCAGCTTCTCACTGACCCCTAAAGAGAGGGAGGGTTTCTTTGAATTCTTGAAATCAGTCAAGTATCCAGATGGGTACGCGGCAAACATTTCGAGATCAGTAAATGCAAAAAATGGTAGATTGACAGGATTGAAAAGCCACGACTGCCATGTACTTATACAACGGATTCTTCCTATTGGGATGCGTGGTTACGTAGATAAAGAGATCAGTACAGCACTTTTTGAGTTAGGTAGCTTCTTCCAAGATCTATGCTCAAGGACATTGAAACGAAGTGAAATGGAGAAATTAGAGGAACGTATAGTACTCATACTATGTAAGTTTGAAAAGATCTTTCCTCCAGCCTTCTTCGATGTGATGGTTCATTTGGCCATTCACTTGCCACGTGAGACTATTCTCGGAGGACCTGTGCAATATCGGTGGATGTACCCGATTGAAAGGTAATTTCTAAAATTGTACTTTCAAATGAAAGGTATAGATTATGTTGTGTGCCTAACCATACTCCTAATTGGTTATCTCTTCAAGGTTTCTCGGATCTTTGAAAAAGTTTGTCACCAATCGAGCTCGACCAGAAGGTTCTATTGCAGAGGCTTACATTGTCAAGGAGTGCATTACTTTTTGCTCAATGTATCTTGAAGGGATTGAAACCGTGCATAATCGAGATGCACGAAATGAAGATTATGGAGTCCGTCGTGAAGGTTTGATAATATTCACCGAACCTGCTCGTTCTATTGGCCAAATCAGAAAGCATGTTGAGATGTCACAGGAACTTCGTGACATTGCTCATTGGTTCTTATTATACAATAGCCCTGAGATAGAGAAGTATCTTCAGTACGTGTTTCTTATAATTATATATATTTTAACAATTATCATGTTATTAGTCAGTAATAATAGTAGTATTTCACACATTAACCAAAACTATTTGAGTAGGGAACACAAGAATTTGTTACAAATTCCCAGTGGACAAGATATAACTCAGATACAACAGAAGGAATTTCCAAAGTGGTTCAAAGAATATGTAAGTCATTTTTAATATTCACAATTGGCCAAACACTATAAGGCTTGTATAAAATACAAACATTACTAACATAATTCAAGTGTTGCACATTGCATGTGGATGTAGATAAATAGATTGAGAGTTGATGAGGCACCAGAAGCAACCGAAGAATTGTGGTCCTTAGCGAATGGTCCTAATTTGCTATTGAAAGAGTACTCAGGTTGTATAATCAATGGTGTCAGATTCCAACATAGAGGTGTGTTTGATGTGCCAGAGGTTGGTGATGGAGAACCACCAGATCAACCAGAATTTAATGACGCATTCCAACAAGAAAACATTAACTCAGTTGTCCCGATCGGCATTGAAGATATTATTCAATTTCATAGGGATGATATTGAAGCTGAGGTTATTTCAAATAAAACAAAGAGAGATGGTAGAGATGATGAAGAAGATGAAGAACTTGGCGTACTTGATGATGATATGGATCTTGATATGGAACCTGATCTGGATTATGATATGTAGTTTTTGTTGTTTTTAGGTTTCTATATGGACATATGTTTTTAATGCATTACATGGTTATGATATATTTTGTTGCGACTCTTCAACTAAAATTATGCTTTATATTTCATGTTTGATATCAATTTATGCTTTTTAGTTAACCAAATGGCCAAAGGGGAGAAACAATGGATCAAACCAGGTTTTCTAGCGAAACAGAAGCGAACAGAGTACGAAATGGAAAGATATAAGACAATCAAGAAGAATAATAAGAAAATGGATGCTCTACAATTGAAGCGTATAGCAACTTCTTTGATGGGTTCTACTCAGCCCAATCGTGTTCATCAAAAGGGAAAGAAAATTAGGGTAGATGATGATGACTACATACCATCAGATCATGAGGATGACACTGATGCTGAGTCCTTTGAAAGTGTTGATGATGAGGTACTATATGTATGGCCATTCATTTTTTTTTATTATGTCACCGATAGCTATATATTTGTTAACGATGCTTTGTTAATACTATCTTTATATTTCCGTATACTTTATTGGATGAATAAGTCATAAAATAAAACTAGAAAATATACATCCTACATACAACAATATGCATACCAAAACAAACTGTAGGAGTAAGTTAGCTGGAACACAAATGTATAACGAAATAAGACATAATTTGACCATGTTGGAAACACCAGATTGACAACTTGCAAAGCACACAATTAGGAAAAACCAATTAAAGATATTAGAACTACTGGTAGCTCACAACCACTCAACCACTCAACTTGCCTACAGGTTTTTGAGTGACAACACCCTTTACCTGACCATTTTAAAAATATTCAAAGCAACCACTTGTCAGGACCAGTCTTGGGAAGAAAAGGAGTGGACTGGATCAGATTACAAATATCAACAGTGGCCTTGATGGGTTTCCATATACATATCTTTACTTATCCATTTTTATGTATTTATTGTTTATGCTTTTGTATTATGTTTTTTAGGGCTTACCAATGCCACCAAAACGATTGGCGCAGTCATCTCTTCAACCTTCGCACGAGGCAATTGTTGTTCCAAATGGGGATTTACATGACAATGTGGATACCCAACACTCACAGCCACTTGATGTCGATATGGAGGCATCGAGGGAGGCAGCCCCCCAATCTAGTGTCGGTAAGATACTGAATTTTACTAAGCTAAACAAATTCTCTGTTTTAATATAATTCTATGGTGCAAAAAATTTGAAGCAATTTGTTTCATAGGAATTGATTTTTTATTTTTTATTTTAGTTTTGGTCTCACTTGTAATTTTTTGTCATATAACACACAAAGTTAACATCTCTATTGGAGATGCTCTTAGTTTTCAAGCATTCCTAGTCTTTGAACAAAAACATTGAAGAAGGAGAAATTATTTGGGAACTTGGTAATCATTTGCCTACATAGGAAATTTAGAAGTACAACCATTGAGCTAATTTCAAGAAAAACTGTCTTTTTTAGGTGAATAAGTCATAAATTAAGACAATGAAATATATAACATATACAAGGGGTATACCTCAGGCCCTAATAACAACAGGACAAAGACTAAAACGCTGCTAAAAAAAATAAAAAGCCTAAACCCTAGAACATGACCAAATCAAACCCCATACAGACAAAGAGGGGCCATAAAATAAGGAAATATAGACAGCAAACAAAAATAAAAACAAACAATTTAGGAGGAGCATCCGAAAACTCCAACAACTAACCAACTGTACAAGACAAAAATAAACAACATTCTAGCTGTAGCAAAATTTTCCAATAGAAAAGGCAGTAATACCAATAGTAACAGTAGTAGCCAATGGCAACCAGATACACCAACTACGGCAGCATCAACCAACTACATGGCTCCATCAGGATTTGCAGATCCAACCAATCAAACAGTAGTAATATGTACAGCAGTAACAAATAGCTCACTATAATAGTCCCAGATTTTAGACCATAGCACAGTTGCATCATGCCCTACAGTATAGCTCAGCTAAAGGTGCATAGAACCCCAATAATAGCAGTAGGTATACTAGAACCAACCACTGCCCAGTTTCAGCAAACCCAAGCAGCAGATACACCAACTCAAACATAGGATTACATATGTTCAACCACCACATAACGAGAGCTATGGGGGTGTTAAACACATGAGAGACCCATTTTAAGTAGTATAACAACCATCAGTTAGGACCAAAAGGAAAGAACAAAATACGTTGAGAACAAACACACAGTATAGTCCTTAGCCACTCAATCCACACTCTCAAATCACACATAAAACACTCAAGAAAATATATGCTCACATTCATCTCAACCCACCAAACAAAAAATTTCCTCATAATATGTATCAGCTTGCCAATTTGTATAACAAACATTAGAAAAAAAAAATTTATATGCTCAACATCACTCAACCCACAAGTCTCACTAGCTCCACACAAGTTTTATTATTTAGGACGGTAGTTCCCTACCTTGCTAGGGTTAGGAACCTTTGATAAAGCTTCAGCTTCAGTTGATCATCTAGCTTCATCAACATCAGCTCAATTTTATCCATCTTCAGTTGATCATCTAGCTTCATCAACATCAGCTCAATTTTATCCATCTTCAGTTGATCATCTAGCTTCATCAACATCAGCTCAATTTTATCCATCTTCAGTTGATCATCTAGCTTCATCAACATCAGCTCAATTTTATCCATCTTCAGTTGATCATCTAGCTTCATCAACATCAGCTCAATTTTATCCATCTTCAGTTGATCATCTAGCTTCATCAACATCAGCTCAATTTTATCCATCTTCAGTTGATCATCTAGCTTCATCAACATCAGCTCAATTTTATCCATCTTCAGTTGAATGAGATCATTTGTATATAACAAATCTACAACTGATTCTCAACAGACTCCAACTGATTCTCAATAGATTCTGTAACTGATCTGTAACAAACTTAGTTAGTTAATCTTAGTTAGTTAGTTAGAGAAAATCATATATCTGTGTATATAAATGAACTCGTGTAATGTTGATGTGGTGTGCAACTAATAATAAAGAAATATCTTTGAAAGATTTCCTCTCTCTTTCTTCCTACTTGCATCAACCTTAAGGACCAAAGCAATCAAGGTCCTATTAGCCTCCTTAAGAAGTTCACCAGAAATAAAAAAAAAGATTTAATAGCCTTAACAATATTTTTACCCAAAACCTGCTAGGAACTCTTAAAGAAACTAGCCGGGTGGCCATGTTCCCATTAAGACACATGAAAAACTGTCTTGCTTGAAAAACAACATGATAATGTGATTTCCTAAAAAATCCAAAGCTAAAATTTCAACCTTTGAGCTAATTTCATAACTGCAATAAAAATAAAAACTGCCTACCTAAATCAGGACTGCAGAAGAAAGCATTTTGAAGACCCTCTTTGTTAAGTTAGTTTGAGAAACAATGATTAAGTAGTCATGGCTGTCATTGAATTCCTTATTGAGAAAAACAAAGCTCTAGAATTTAAAAAAATAAAATAGTTCAATTAAACAAATCATGTTTCCTTTAAAATCTTTACTATAATAATGTTTTATGAGTTCACTAAGCAGATATATTGTGACTTACAATGGCATGAAAGAAGGAGACTAGTTGATGATACTGATTTAATTGAAAATATAGGAACAATTAAAAAGCTTGCTCCCGACATCGAAACACATTGAACGGTTCGAATTATCGAAACGGGATCCGTGATGGGCCTCCTTGGCGCAAAATGGTCAGTCTAATCTTCCTCTGCTATAAGAGACCCAATTCCCCTCTTCTGATTCAGATCTCAATTCCATTTACTTCACTGTAATTGATAGAGAAGATCTTTATGTTTGGTTTGTTAATTTTCCTTTTATTTCATCTAATTTGCTTTTGTCAGCTCATACCTAACATTGAATTCCTGGTGTTATTATAATTTCAATTGTTGTTCTTGATTTTTAGAAAATTCTGAATATACCCATTTACGTTTTGATTAATTGTAAGCTAAGAAGATGCACTAAGCAGATACATCGTTAACTCCATTATTAATCTCATCGTTAGCTCCATTGTAAACTAAACTGATTAAATGTTCTTTTATCTCTCTAAAATTCATCTCTCTCTTCCAAAGTTTTAGGGTTTTTTTTTTAATTCTTCTCTGGCCTCTCTTCCTGTGGAATATTCTGATATAATTTCAATTAATCAATGTTGATTATGGATAATTGAGACTCAATTATCAGAATAATGCAAAGTACTAATTGTAGGGCAGAGACTGTATATATTGGGTATATCAGAATAAGGTATATCCAATATATACAGTCTTATGTTGAAAAAAAGTATAATTGTAACTAAGTAACTAAGTATAGATATACCCATTATTGGATAATTGAGACTCAATTATCAGAATAATGCAAAATTACAATGTTTATTTTTACAAAATGGAATTGAGTTCTGTTGTACAGAAATTGAGTTCCATTTTGGTGCTGGAAGGGTTATTCATGTTTTTGGCACAACTTGATGGTTAGGATAAATATTTTAGTTAGAGTTTGTGCAGTTAAGCATGGTAGTATTGGCTGACTTTGTTTTGATGGAATATGGATGCCCATTTCAAATTAAGGATCAAGTAAAAATCAAGCCAATGATACTTTCTTTGAAAACAGTTATTCATGTCAATTTCAAGAATTCCACTCCATATTTCAGAGTAAAGATTTTTAGAATTTGGAGTCCATTGTGTCGTATTGCATACATATTTCTAATAATCTTTGATTATCTGAAACTGCAGAAGAATATGGTCCTACCTCTCTCTCTCTCTCTCTCTCCAATTTCTTCTTCAACCAGAAAGACATCTTTTCTCGCTTTAAATATGGAGACAATTGTTGATCTCTTGAATTGAGAGAGTAATTATTTCATTTAATATTTTGTTTCTTTTTCTCTAAGCAATGGCCCCTGGCTTAGGCTTCTAAGGATAGATTTCATGTTTGTAAGGGCTAGGGTGTTCTTGCATTAGGGATAGGGGCATTCTCTATAAGCAATGAGCTGCACCTGCTCAGGCACTTAAAAAAATGGGCAAGGGGCATTGCGTCGGTGATCAAGTGTAATGAAAAATTGGGAAGGGTCCCTGCACTTTCCTAGATGACCGTAGGTAAAGAAGTTAGACCAGAGTTGTTGGTTTAAATTGGCAACTTGGTATGTTTGTACACTAACAAGTAAGACTAGTATTAGTAGATACTATGATTAGAAGGAAAATTAATATAGCATGTTTACAAGAAACTAAACAGATAACAAAAATAGGAGACATAATAATGCTAATCAAACTTGTAATGGAGAAAGTATAATTAATGTAATTAGTGCCTATGCACCCCAAATAGATAGGAAGAATATATTAAAGAACATCAAGGCTTAAATATTCATTTAAAACATTCAACAATGATCTTCATGATCTTCACAAACGATCATAGTTTCATTTAATTATTGATAATTTTATATATCTCAAAGCATCTTTATAGAACATATTTTTGTAATCTATCAATAAATGAAAATTTATTAGTGACAACATTTAAATAGAGGTGTTCAAGTCTCCTTTGCTGCTGATATGGATTGTTGCTGAGATGGGTGGAGTCTATGGTAGCATGGGGCTGTTCTGTTTTGCTTTTGATAAGACCTACTATTGCTGCTCTGTCTTGGTATTGTTTATTATTGCTGTTTGTTGATCTATACTACTGTGTGGCTTGATGATTCTCAGTAATGGAGGATGAATGCTCTATCAGTATTGTTTAGTTGGTGTCCATTAACAGCTATGTTTAGTTGTTTGCTTAGCACCATCAGTTGGCTATTTATGTGAGTGGCTGCTTATTTGTCTAATTGGATGATTTTGTGATATGGAGTTAATGGGGGATGCTACTGTTCTGAAGCTGTTTTGATTTTTGAGGTTGCTGATTAATTACTTGCATGGAGGGGGGTTATGTTCATTGGGAGTACTCTGGAGGGGGGTTTTTTGGCTGCTGCTGATATGTAGTGGCTAATTGTTCATTGTGTTTCTTTGTTTGTTGTTTTCTATAGTCTGTTGATTGGATCCTCACCAATCCCCTTTTTTATTGTTGTAAGTTTTTTCGTTTGTATTTTTTCTTCCATCAATAAAATTTATCTTTTGCTGATAAAAAAAAAAAGAAAAAGTAACAAGTAATGTCAGCTACTTCATACATAAAAAAAATACTAAGAAAAATAATATATAGATCAAGAGTTCAAACACAAAACAAATGTTAATAAAAGTAATGTATGTTTTAAATTCACTTCACATGTGAATTCGACTTTAACAAAGTTAAACCACACACTACTTGATTTTGTCTTTTTGTCTTTTTTTTTTTTTTTTTGATATACTATTTCAAGCTATATTTGTTTGGGTATACTACATAATTTCTCTTAAGTAGTTTTATGAAAAATCATCTAGGTCGATTGGTTGATCCTAAACATTTTTGATTGTTTGATCACAACTTTGAGACACTTTTCATAAAATATTTTTATGGTCATTAACATTTTTGCAACACATAAATTGTAATATAAGAATTTTATCAGATAGTGCCTTCAGGCACGGGCAATCTCTAGTATATATATATGCTACATTAGTGTTAAATGGTGCCATTTGAGAATGTAAAACCATTGCATGATGATCACGTTTATCATATATATTAAGGATCTTCTTATGTTCAACTTGCTATTCCATGTACATAGATATTACATGGACATATGTGAGGTCACTCTCAAACAATGATAAATGCTTTACTGTTTTGGAAATGTTAATAATGAGCTATCTATCTTTTAGAATATATTTTTCCCACCACCTTAGTCCTCTCTCTATATATAGCTTCTCATCATACCTCAAGTTCTTCACAGCCAAATCTCAACTCTCTCTTCACTACAAGCATTCTCTAACCATCTCTCATCCAACACCTTCCCAACAATGGCTACCGTGTCGGCTTTGGGAGCTGAAAAGCCAGTTGTGATCCTCAGCAAAAGCGGTTGCTGCTTTTGCCACACCATCAAAATACTGATACACGGTTTTGGGGCCAGTCTTGCTGTTTATGAGCTTGATGAACTTCCTAATGGACGACAACTGGAAAGAGAGTTGTTGTCATTAGGATGTCGACCTAGCGTACCCGCTGTGTTCATAGGTGGGGAGTTGGTTGGTGGTTCTAATGAGGTCATGAGCCTCCATATCCGGGGCAAGCTAGTCCAATTGCTCAAAAAAGCTAAAGCTATATTTATATAGGATGCCAAACTAGTACTTATTTTTGCTTTTGTAGCGAATGAGAATACACCTACTTAACCATGAGCCTCTTTTTTTATGTGGAGAGGTTTGATGAGAAGTACTAATTGTGTTTTGAAGGTGTATTTTCTTTTTGTTGTACTAAATCATTATTGTCATACTTAGTTTATTTATAGCTACTGCGTCTTGAACATAATATTTCTCCATTTTATGTATTTTCCATCTGCATAAATGGAAATTTTAAGAGATGAGCAAAAGGTAAACTACGTACCTAAGAAGCACATTATCTTTAATGCAAACTTAGCAATCTTTTTCTTGTATTTGTGTAGAACCATTCAATGTGTAAAAAAAGTTACTTATATTGCTTTTATGATTTCGCTTTAATTAATTGCTAACCAGACAATGTTATGTCTTTAAAACAGTGCCTACTAGACACCCTCATGGCTTGGCACGCGGGTTGAAGGTTCAAGCAATGGTTCAAAAAGATGGAAAGCTCAAAGTTCCTATACCACAGGAGTATCGTGCACCAGTGGGGGATCATGCCTCTCAATTAGTCTCCAAAATTGGTGTTGAGGTCCGAACACACTTGCCAGACTTTAGCATTCGCACGTGGAAACATGTCAACGAAGAAGTTACGGCACCTACGTTTCAGCGTCTAACGGTAAAAGTTTTACATAATTGATTGAATTAATGTAATATAATTAATTATGACTTACAAGATTTGTGGCTGTTGCTAGGATCAATTTGACATGGAAGGTGACTCCACAAATGTTAGCAAAGCGGTGGCAACAAAGTGTGGACGGAGCTTGAGCAGCTACACCTACAGACTACGAAAAAAATACCTGAACCTTAAAAGTGCTAAGGGAGAGGAGTATGCTAGAAGCCACCCACCGCCTGAATGTGACCTCGAGAAATGGAAAAACTTGATTGACAAGAAGTGGAATGATGCCAATTGGCTGGTAAACTTTTCTTATGTTTATTTATTGTTGACAATTACCTTGTCTTCCTAATATATATATTTTTCTATTGGAACTTCCTCCTTGTAGAAGCAATCAAATGCTAACATTGACAATAGAAATCAATTGAAAACGAAGCATAGATGTGGGTCAAAATCTCTCCCAGTTAGGGTACACGAGGCGGTGGGTCTTCTTTAATTTTTTTTTTGGTTTTTTTTTTTTTTAAAGATGATTCTACTACCATCATTCTTATTTAACTTACTAGTTGAACAAAAAAAAATCAGACAATTGCAAATGGGGGCCAACTGCCAGAGTTGCCATGTGTTTACAAATCTACACACTTTAATGATGTCACAAAGCAGTGGATTTCTCCGGAGTGCGAAGAGAATTATGTATATATATTTACCTTTTGTATTAGGATGATTGCAATTTTAATTGTATCTTTATTCATTTTTCTAATTTTTTTTTTTAAATGATAGGATAATATGATAAAGATCCAAGCTGAACATTGCTCCCGACCTGGTGTGGTTCCAATTACTCAGGAGGAGCTATCTGTGAAGGTGCTAAAGCCAAGGTCGGGATATGTTAAAGGACTCGGGTTGAGGCGTTCCTTCTCTGTCAGGGCTACCAGTGCTTCGACTGACAGTGACTATGTGAGGCGTCTAGAGATGGAAATACAAGAGCAAAAGGAGCAAATTCAGTCACAAAAGAGGAAATTCAGTCACAAAAAGAGGAAATTCAGTCACATAAAGAGGAAATTACAGCACAGAAACATGAAATTCAAGTATAAAGAGAGGAAATTCAAGCACAAAATAAAGAGATAGGGAAGATGAATGGGTCGATTGACGAGCATTTTGAGATCACATCAAGCATCATGGAGTTTCTTAAGAAGCAAGGTTTCAAAGGACAATTTAGAGGATGAGGTATCCCATGAACTCGTACATCGCCTTTTTGGTAAGTCTCGCTCGCTTTATCATTTTATTTTTCTCATGTTGGTTAGTATATACTAGTTAAAGTACAATAGTTTGACTACTTATTAACTAAGATTTAACAAGTTTGAAGATGTATTTAATGAAAATAGATTCATTATCAAAATTCTTACTTAGCATGACTATAGTTAAAATACACACGAACCAAAGTAGAGACAAAACTAAGTCAGATAATAGCCTGCTGTTAGGTGTGTTTCTATCTGTGGATGTTGGTATTTGTATAGCCTAAGTCACAAGTATCTGTATGCTCTGCTGTTGGTATCTGTATGCTCTGTTGTTGCTATCATTCTGCTTTGCTGGTTGTATCTCTATGCTGTGAGAGTGGACAGATCTGCTGGGCAGCTGGTCTGGGTAATTTTGCTTCAGTTTTGGATGTGAATCTAATTGTAGGCCTGGTGATGTATATTTTCTATATACCTTTGCTGGGATGGGTAGCTTGCTGTGTGCGTTTTATCCTGCTGTCTGTTATGTTTTTTGTGTTCTTGTTGGTCCGTCACCAACAGTTTGGTTTTGGTGCTGTGCATCATCCCCCGCTCCCCTATCCTTTCTTGTTCCCTTTATTGATGTATTTTCTCCTTCTTGTAAGGTTCTTTCATCAATAAAGTTTTTGTTGATAAAAAAAGAAAAAAAAAAAGAAAAAAGGAAGCAATCAATGTTAAAACAAAATAATATGTATAGCAGTGTGTATTATTTTCTAAATTTAGAAGGGAGCTGTTTTTAGGTTTTGTGCGTGGCCTTTTAATGCTAATGTTAAAAATAATAAGCTTATTATCTACATCCATTTTGGTCATTGCTGTCACAACTCACCAAGCTAATGGTCCAGTTTTCCATTTTTTGCATTGTAGGTTGTTGCTCTCTCTCTCTCTCTTCAAAATTTTTTTAAATCCCATTTGTGCAGCAGCCACAATATTTGTTCCTTCCCATTCGCATTGACTGCATGCTTTGGTTCTTACCATGAGATGTTGTAGTGTTATAACTAGTTTGGCTGCTGTCCGTGGGTCACAGGCAGTTTTTGATCCGAGCATAATTCTAGGGATACAGTGAATTGCCATGTTAAGGTGATCATTGCAAAGCCCATGGGTGGGAATGAGCATGGTATTCATCTTTTTAGTTAATCTCTGTTAATTTCTATTCAAATAACTTCAAGTTTGTGATCTTGAGAACAGTTCTGTATATTTGTTAAGTTTCTGATATTTGGCTTTAAGTTTATAATAAAACTTTGCTATTATAATAAACTTTATATATATACATTCTATGCTAATGTTTGCCTTGTTTATTTTTTTTGTAGGTTGGTTTTGATGACGTTCGGAAGCATATTTGCAAATGAAGATCAACTGTTGAATTTTTTTCCTAAACTGATGCTTAGTTGTAGTTGCAAATTAAGATTGAGTGTTGATTTTTTTTGGTGGACTCCACGTTAGTTTATTTTGGGATTTACTTTGATGGTTTTTTTGTGATACTTAATGGATTATTATTAAGGTTGTTTGATGGATATATTTTGATTTATAAAATAAATTATTTAGTGAATTTTTTTGTGGAGTGCTGTATAATAGCTACTGATTTCTTAGTACAATTAAAAAGCTATTGGGATATGAGCAGGGATATTTGTGAAATAATAATTTATATTGAATATAAAATATGGAACAAGTTTAGTGATGAATTTGTTTCGTCATTTGTACTTGTTATTATGACAAAGTGATTATTCGTCACCAATAAATTTTTTTTGTGACAAAATTTACTGCAGTTTATATATGAAAGTTTTTATTTATTTTGTTGTTTGGTGACTAAAAATTTCGTCACGTATATATATATATTTGTGACGAAATATATTTCGTCACCCATGTATGACTTTTGAAGACGAAAAATTTCGTCACCTTTATATCTTATTGTGACGAAATTATTTCCTCATCAATGATAAACATGCGTGACAAATTTATTCGTCAACTAAAATTATAAATATGGTACTGAATAACTATTTGGTGACGAAAATGAGAATTTTTGGCAACAAAATGTTGTTTTATTGGTGACAAAATTATGACTTTTGAAGACGAAAAATTTCGTCGTCTTTACATCTTATTGTGACGAAATTATTCCTCATCAATGATCTGTGACAAATTTATTCGTCAACTAAAGTTATAAATATGGTACTGAATAACTATTTGGTGACGAAAATGAGAATTTTTGACGACAAAATATTGTTTTATTGGTGACAAAATTATGACTTTTGAAGACGAAAAATTTCGTCATCTTTACATCTTATTGTGACTAAATTATTTCCTCATCAATGATCAACATGCGTGACAAATTTATTCGTCAACTAAAGTTATAAATATGGTATTGAAAAACTATTTGGTGACGAAAATGAGAATTTTTGGCGACAAAATGTTGTTTTATTGGTGACAAAAAATTTCGTCGTTGAAGTAATTTCATTGGTGACGAAATTATTTTTCGTCACGTTGGTTTTTAGTGACAAACATTCAATGACGAAACCGGTGACGAAAATATTTCCTCACAAATATCTATAGTGACGAAATTAGCTCTTTGATGACAAAAAAATTTCGTCACTCAAGGCCCAACTTGTTGTAGTGAATCTTGATTAATTAGTCTTAAGCCTATTTAATTAGCTTAAACTAATTTAGCCTATATATATATAAGATATAAGCTTAATTGAGTTCATTTTCCTTCATCTTCTTGGTTGAAATCATATATATATATATAGAGAGAGAGAGAGAGAGAGAATAAAGAATTGTGAAGAATTGAAGGAATTGGGCTAGCAAACTTCAAATTCAAGCTCTAGGTATGAATTACAACCATAATTCTTGTAGACAATCCATGTAGATGTTGAATTCATGAAGTATATAGGGTCATTTGCATGTAATTGGAAAGAAAACGTTAGAATCAACTTGAATATTGTAGAAATGAGTTGAATTTGGATATGCATGTACATTTCAACATCCTCAATCTTGATCTTCCAACAATTCATACATGCATGAAGTTCATACTTTTTGATTTTGAGAATTCTCCATGAATTTATACTCAGTTGTTTATATTTTGACATTTTGAAAGTCATGGTTGAATTACACGGTTTTTTAGTTTGATTTTTGAAAATTGGCAAAGGTTTTGAACTTATGATTTCAAATGGGTTTCGTTTATATGTTTTCTAAAAAGTTTTCATGCTTTTGGGTCTAGCCATGCAAGATATATAACTTAAACACATGTTTTTGAACTTGAATTTAGTTCTGGAAATTTTAGAATTTGACCACTTTGTTCAAGCGATTAAGTTGTCGCTTGAGCGCACTTTGTATGCTCTCAGTATTTTTACAGACCTTTACAGTTGGCTCTAGCGACCAAGTGTGCGCTCGAGCAAACCCAGCTTTACACTGCACTTGGCTCAAGCGACCAAGTGATGGCTCGAGACCACTTTAGCACCATCCAGTAGTTTTGCATATAGACTACACCGCTCAAGCGACTAAAGGTGCACTCTAGCGAATTGCTCTATTTTTAGCATTTTTGAAAAACACTATCATGTGCATATTTTCATCCTCATGCTCTTTTAGGCATTCTTGGGCATTGGTTAGACATCATTAATAAGGGAATGAGTTAGAAACACATTAAAGGGAATTGAATTAAGATAGAACATTTGATTAAGACAAGTGTTTCAATGTATGCCTTTGTTGTGTGTTTTGTGTAGGTGGTCACCCGAAACTTAATATCAGTACAAACTCACTGTGAGTAATGTCTTTATAAAGTTATGTTTGAAAAGTATTTTGAATCAGTCAAGAATGTTGTTTTGAAATCTTATTTTCTTACCTATGAATGAAGTTCCTTTTTGAACTTGTAATCGTGGCATCCTTTAGTGAGGCCCTCGCCTGGAGGAAACAATACCATGACCCATTGGATTAATTGAAACACAGAGATCTCTGATATTAGGCCCTAGTGGTCCACATTGAATTACTAGTTGTGGTGTTATTGAATGAGTCATTATGGTCCCATCGAATTGACCTTAATGGTCCTATTCGATTTGGTGCTTTGATCTATTATTACTCTATTGGATGTTACCACGTATAATGATTTGAATTGTAACACCCCCAAAATAATTACAATTATCCAACTCCAAACACTAGTACAAAGTGATATAAATAAAATAAGAAGCTTTCATTAATCAGAGTTAATATACAACAGGTGACATATGCGATATACATTTATAAATCGTTCATCTTGAATCTACAACATGTGTTAGAAAAAGTAATAAGGGATGAAAGCTAAATAGATATTCATATGCCCTAATGGCTTACATCTTTCCATGACCATGCTTGGTTATAACAAAATGAGTCATAAGCTCAATACAAATAAAGCCTTAGGCTTGTAAAAAGGTAAATACAAAATAAATGTAAATTGAGCCTTCAACTTCACAGTCCTCCCAAGCTAAGTCCTTGGCAGAGGCATATCACCAGCACCTGAAAATGGTTTTTCCCAAGTAGGGTGAGCCAAAGCCCAGTAGAAACAATCTAACACAATATATGAATCTTAACAAAGATATAAATGTGACGTGTATATACAATACTTGTGATGAAATCATTCTTATTTTACAAGGTCATAATATGCCAAGTTTTTTATCTCAATCCATTTTATCTTAATTCATTTCAAGTCAATTCATTTCACCTCAATTCATGAGTTATGTCCATTGTTATTCAAGCAACCCAACTGAGGCTACAACTCAGTGGCTCTCTAACCAACACAACCATTACACACAAACACTTCAATTTGCCGTTTTACGAAATTTTCATCCGTGGGAATCGGCACCGATGTATACGCTCGATTTTTGGGACTTTCACCATGGACACACAGGCCAAATTAATTCAATGGAGTACATCCCATTTCTTCTCCCAAACATGGAGTACATCCCATTTCTTCCCCCAAACATCATATATTTACAATGTATTAAAGACATGGTCATATTCAATGACAACAGATAAAAGATTAGTTTCAATTCACATAATTTTCATGCAATTTCTACAACAATCATAGCTATCCTCCACCGATAGCCCAAAACAAATATTTCTAAACATATATACGATTTCCAAGACAAAAAAACTATCCAAATTTCCATAAGTGAGAGACAACACTTATCCAACCCCACAATTTATATAAATTCCCAATACCAATTTCATTATTTATACAAAATAATTATTTGAGACAATTTAGAGCAAAACTCCATTTTTTCCAAAATTCCATCCATGCATCAAAATCAAAAAATTTAACACAACACATCATCATATCTACACCCATAACCATTTTCAATACCTTCATTTGAAAACCCCTCTTTTAATTTTAAACCCAAACACTAGGTTTGCCTAAAATCCTCCAAATTCCCAACATTATTTACACAATCAACAAATAACTAAGTTAAAAATCATAGGAGAGTGTAGAAAGTCCCTACCTCAAAGCTAGAAGTCGAGCAAAGCAAGGAGGAAACTTCAAAGATGCTTAAACACAACTCTATTCAAATAGAAATGCAGCCCTTGAGACGCTCTACCTTTATATCAAAGAGAGTAGGGTAAAGAAACCTCTAGATCTAGGTGAAAATGTAAAGAGAATGGGAGTTTTAGAGAGAGAGATGGTCTCGATCTAGGGTTTTGGGAGAAAAAATATGTAAAAGTGATGTAAAAAGGTGCTGCTGCGAACTGATATATGCACAGTCCGCTCGAGTGTAAGAAGTGACTCTCGAGCGTCAGACAAAATAAGTTGTTCCGCTCGAGCGCAAGAAGTGCCACACGAGCACAGAATGCACACTCCTAGTAGTTTTGCAGACCTACAAAAGTACTGAGAGTTCACAAAGCCCACTCGAGCGCAAGAAGGGCCGCTTGAGCGGAGAAGCAAAATTCTAGGCAATAAAAGGTTTGAAAACCAAGCAACCAACCTGTTTCAAATATGCTCGATACAACCCAATAGCCAAACTCAAGTAAGAATAAGGAGGAAAAGACATGAACAACATTTAGAACCATAAAACCCGAGTCCAGAATATCAAATGGGTCAGGTCAAGGCACTCTGTAGGCTCTGCTACAACCGAGCTGTGAAACGCGAATCTCTATGTGAAACAATCGTCACAGGGACCCCGTGCAACCTCACTATGTCCTTAATGTAAAGGTTGGCAAGATAATCTACTGAGTCACTCACATGCACAGGTATAAAGTGCACCGACTTGGTCAACTAGTCAACTACCACCCAAATTGCATCACTACCCTGTTGAGTCCTCGGAAGGCCCACAACAAAATCCATTGTGACATGCTCCCACTTCCACTTGGCTATAGGCAAGGGTTACAATAAACCTGCTTCCCTCTGATGTTCGGCCTTCACTTATTGATAAATAAAGCACCTTGATACAAACATGGCCACATCATTCTTCATATCCCTCTACCAAAACTGGTGACTAAGGTCGTGATACATGTTTGTGCCTCCCGGATGCACTACAAGGCGTGAATGATGAAACTCTCAGAGAACTGCCTCTCGGTAAGACTTCGACACGGAGAGACGA